TCTAGTGATGGTCACATAATAATTTGAATGTATTTAATGCCACTGAATATTAATGCCACATAACTTAAAAATGGTTAAAATGGTAATGTTTTTACTATGAATATTTGACTACAATAAAATGAAGCTGAAAATGAAGGATTCTCTAAGTTGTAAGGTACTACTGCTTTTAATTTTTACACATGCTACACATGCAATTTATAGATGGGATTGATATTTTATGATTTTGTGACTTCCCAGAAAATCGAATAAGAAGGAAACTAGGAGTCTAAGCACCTTCTGTAAGTCATATATTGAGGGAATCACATTTCTTTCTGTCCAAATTATAAAAGAAATTCAATAACAAATAGAGATTACAATAAACAAGTAGTCTGGTTTTCAGTTGTGTCTTACCTTGTTTACACATTTGCGTATAGTCACTTAACCAACTTGTATGTTCGCTAGCATACAGATTACCTGAGTGTAATGGTCAGTTGTTATGTTGTCATCTGTTGATGTCCATTCCCCATATTTGAAATATTTAGACTCATTGTACCAGATTCCAATTATATGTGTCCATGCGAAAGGATAAGATGTTAAATGCATATTTTCTCCACAAAAGGTATCTGAAAGGAGGGAATAAAGGTTAAAATTTCAGAAATATTATGCAAGGAGGCTTTCCTCATTTTTATTTTACAAGTGATTCACTGATCAGCTAGGCAATTTCATAGGAGAGGAGGTAAACTCAGTGGTATACTTTCTGGCCATTTTCTTTGTCATTGATGGATGTGCACTTGGTGCTCACATTTGGTGAGAAGTTGATGGTAGGAGATGATGAGCAAGCTTTGAAATCAGATCAGCCAACATTTCAGTCTCTGCCACTTCCAAGCTGATGGAGAAGGGTGGAACCAAATCAGAGAATCCTATGAGATGTAACAGGGTCCATGGCTTAAAAGCAGCCACACACAGGTATTCATCATGCAAGGACCTTGAAATGAACAGCGGTTTATTTAGCCACCCACTCATGGTGCGAGCTCTTGATTGAACATGATATTTAAAAGTGATCTATCCTTCCCTGGGGCAGGAAAGACCCATGTTGCTAATTCGCCGCTCAAGAGCATTGGGCTAAGATTTTCAATAATATGTAGAATTAAAGTTACACTAGTATTTTAGATTATTTTGTAATAAAAAAAATGTTCATAAATGTTATCAATGGCTATTTGTGTAGGAAATACTAATTTTTTTTTGGTTTTTTGTTTTTTGGAAACTAGCAGTGAATCACCTTATTTATATGCCATAAGATAGGCTCATTTTTGAGCATCTAGATGTATTTTTATGGGCAGCTCAACAGAGTTGGCATATACCTCATTTCTCAGCAGTATTAGTGTTCTAAAGCTAATGAAATCCTCATGGTGATATTGTGGGTAGCTGAGGTAACTACATAGATTGGAAACACCTAGGTATTCTAGCTGCACTCAACTCTTCTGTAATACTGAGAGCTTTGATTCTTTTCTCCTGATGGTCAGAAATTGGAATCTGAAAATTTGAATATCCAAATTTGAAAAATTAATAATAATAGCACAGTACATTAGGCCACAATTCACTGCCATGTATGTGCAAGTGCAAATATAGATGGAATGACTTAACTCACTCTTGCCAGCTTACTAAGCAATCTCTGCTTTTTAAGTACAAAGGTGGGTCATTTAAACATTTACTTACTGTTAAGCCTCCTCTCAAGTGGGTTGCTCTCTGACATATCACAATACCTTGAAAAGATTCTGGCATTTTGTTCAGCCTCTTTGCTCCAACTCTATAGTGAAAAGACAAAACCAAGCATATGATCTAATTAACAGATACATGATAAGACTCTAGTTTATTGTTTCTAAAAATCCAAGACTTGTAGTATCTTCAATTACATAAACTAAATATTTATATAATGAGATTACTTTTAAATATTCTGGTAGGAAGAGGAATACAAAAATTTCAATTTATTGTATTGGCCCTTGAATTTACAAATTCAAAATTCAGCAGAGGGAGAGAACATTCTATGGGCTACAAAGTGGAGTGGGGGGAAGGGAGGAAAGGGAGGGAGGTTGGGAATAATTGGGTGGGGGACATGGGGTACAAATGCAATTTGTGGTAATGGGTATACAGCCAATATGAATCTGGCCCCCACATCATGGGCACAAGGGGTGACAATCAGCTTTGTATCTCATGAATATTCAAAACCAATAAAAAAGATTAAAAAATTCAGTAATGACATTCAGATATAGCTTCTCTCACAGATGTAATAAACAATTTAAGTAAATGCTTCCAGGAAAACAGACCAGAGTTAGAAATTCAGCCCAGTAATTTATTAGCACTTTTATCTGGAACACACTATTTGTCTGTTTTGATCTCAGTTTTTTACAGTTCATCACCAAAATTTTATTTAAAAGGTTTAATGAGATAATGCCTACAACTGTGATATGCTAAATTTATGCTGCATGCTTAATAAGTAAATGAGAGCTGTAATTACAAGCAAGAAAAGAGTCACACATCTCCATCTAAAATTATGAATAATAACAGAACATAATAGCGAACATCACATGCCAGAATCTGTTACCAATTCTATATGCATTTTTTCTAACTTTATCTTCACAGCAACTCTGTAAGGGAGATAATATTATTATACACATAAGCAAATAAGGTAACAGAAGCACAGGAGATTTCGAATAACTTTTACAGATCACACTATCAACAAGTGACAAAGAATTTGATTGCAGTTAGTCTGGTTCCACAGTGTGTGCTCTTAACTCTCAATATATGTCAGTTGTTCTGAGTTGAAACATTTTGTCCTATACAACTTGGTAATATCTGTCCTCCAAGTAAGATAAACGGCAGAAACTCATATCTATCAGAAGGTCTGACACTCTGTGACAAATGATCTCCCTGACACTTTTATCCACACAGTCTGTACATCCACTTAAAAGACTATCCCTATACCTACATAACACATTACCAACAAAAGTTGTAGAGTTTATTTTTACTATAGTTTTTTATGTAAATTAGTCTGCTACTCTTTAGAGTAATGTTTGGATGACATGGATTTTCAATATTTTTTAACGGCATGGAAAGAAATTTAACTATTACATGTGTATGCTGACATCTTGTGGTAGTTCTCTAGAATTATCCTTCAGGTTGATGAATTTACTAAACCAAGAGATGGATTAAATAACACACTAGCCTGACACTGAGTAAAAACATGGATGTGCAGTTTTGAATGTTTCATGTAAGAAAAGATGTGATTTAGTCACGGCTATGTCTATAACTGAAGGAGCAGAGATGGCACTGCAATCTGCTCAGCGTGTAGGATCTCCAATAGTGGGAATACCATTTTACTCATGAGTAAAGAAACCTTGCCTTTATTCCCAGGTTACCAAATACTCAGAATTGGAACTTCTCTGGCTAAATCCTAGCTGACTGCTTGCAGTATATGCTGTGGTATACTGCTATGCAGGTCCTGTTCTGTCCTGAAGACTTATTACCCCATCAGCTATGAGTCCGGCCCACAGACAGCCCTACTGTCTGCCCTCTCTACAAATTGCCCTCATCCATGGACATACTCCCTTCCCTGGGGAAGACCACTTCCAAGAGCTAGTAGATAGAAATGCCAGGCCCCTTCTCTCCATCTTAGGACAACACAGAGGGACCTTCCTAGTTTTAAAGCTTCCCATGAGATAAGCTGAGGCTTATGTTATGGCTACATCATAGCCCAGTTTCTCCCTGTGCTTAATCCTGCTTCTCTCCCTATCTCCATAGGTAGGTGTAAATCTGGAGATTGTTCCCCAATAAGTACCCTGTATGCTAATCTCCATCTCAGAGTCTGTTTATCTTATCGAGGGAAACTACCTGAGACATTCATCATTTTTAAGAGAAATTTGTCTGTTAGAATAAGCATCCAGAGCATGCACTAATTATAACCCTTGCTTCTCTAGGCCAGTCCAGGGTTCAAGAAAGCATGCTGAGCTTGCCCATAAAACAATGCTGCAGCTGGATAATAACATGAGGCCTATCACTTCACATACCTGAGACTTTCCTAAATTTGTCTTGTGGCAGAGCATACCATATTTATAACAGAAAGACCATTTCTTGAACATTTTGTGGATGCAATGAAACTGATAAATAGATTTGTCAATATTTGTTTACCTGGCATCATCAACTGGCTTAGAATCTGGACATCTTAATGTTCAGATGAATGTCTTAGCCTCTAGGCTACTGCCCAATGAAGACAGCTATGAAATGCCTGGATAACTTGTTAATCAAAAGCTGCTACATATATTAGCAGCATCGGCAACAGCTGGGAGATTGTAGATGTCTCCATGTCAGACCTCCTGAATCAGGATACCAGAATATGGGGCCCAGGAAGCTGTGCTTTATCAATTTCTTCAGGTGATTCTTAAGAACAGTGAAATTTGAGAAGCACTTTCCTAGGGAATATAAGCATGAAGCTAGACTGTGTCAAATGGAATTGTTGCTCTGTCATTTACTAACTGCGTGATTGTTGGTAAACTACCTCCTCTGAACCTGTTTCGTCTTCTGTTATGTCCTAAGTTGGTAGTGATGATCAAACTTGTGGTATATTGAAAGTTCATAGAACTTCATACAAACTCAGTACACACCAATACCACTATTGCTGTCACTGCTGTTGCTGTTGTTTGATCTTACCATCTTCAGCATGTTGCTGGCTGATGGAACTACTCCTCTCCTGAGGGTGTTGTGAAGATTAACAATTTCTTCTTGTATAGCTGGCAATTCAGTGACAATTTTGTTGTATAGTTTTTCTGGTTTTACCTGTTACCAGAAAATTATTAATTAGTGTTCATTTATGAAATGGAATTTGTTACATATATTATTTGCAGACTCATAGACAGTGTGAATTTATAGCTTATATTGAATAAACAGTGATCTACAGCATTTTTGAATTTATGAAATCTCAGTATATTAGATTGCATTTCTTCAGTGCTGGTTTTGAGGATTTCTGAGTATCATGCTGACATTACACTAGTGTCCAGAATAGCACACTGGTTATTATGTGATTAAGGGGTTTTTCAAATTTATGATTCATATTTTAGAGCATGTTGGAGCACTTTTTACTGGATAATATAAACCACAGTGGGAGATTTCTTGAAATCACATATTTTACTGACTGATTTCCCTTTCTTGGCCCCTTCTCCACCCAACCCCACCTCCCAGTGAGTATTCTGTTTGCTTCCCAAATGAAACACTTGCATTTGAATCCTAGTCTAATGGTATATGTCTGGGAGAACCCAGACTAAGAGATTTATTATTAAGTACAAAGCCTCAAGAATTATCAACTCAGATTCTGTTCCTTCTTATAATTCATATGAGAAAACACCAATGTTTGTAAGTATATGTATAGAAAGTATAAAATAGAATTTAAACTCAGTCTACAATTAGAATTAGTGGCTCTTCTTTTAATTTGTTTATCTTTTATCCTGCAACTAAGAAGAAAAATACATGGTCAAAATATTTTAGGTTAGCATTAATTGCTATAAGGAGTATTTTCTTTGTATGTGTGTGATACATCACATGTACTTCATACATCTTTTTTAAATGGCAAAACTAATGTAATATAATTTGAGTTATATCTGTTTCTTTCTCAACTACCACAAGACTATCAGCACAGTTTATGAATGGATAGGATCCAGAACCATGTCTTGCTCAAATGTAGAAGTAGTTATTGTCATTTATTTTGTATCAACAGTTTTAGAGTATTGGGAGAGGGAATAGATACAGAATCTGGAAAACCCCTCTCCCAATCCTCTGATGTCTTAGGCTCTTGAAATCTTCTTCCTTTAAATCTCTCCTCCAATGCTCTTTACCTCTCCACTTTTATGGTCACCAACTATATCTCATGATCATCCCCAAATAACGTATCTCCCAGATGACCCAGTCAAGCATTTCCCTGCCTGACCATGATTTTCTCTTCTTCCAAGTTGCCAAGGTCAACCACTGTGCTGTTCTTCAATATAATCTAGCCTTCTGACTCACTCTCTATGGTCTCTACTACCCCTCGCTTGTCTTGTCTTCTCTATATCCTCTTATTTCAACAACTCCCTTCCTAAAGTACTGAATCCTTTGTCTGCCCACTCTCTCTTCCCAAATACCTCACCTAGGAACATCCCAACTTTGGATGAGAACAACAATTCTTCTGTCTAGACTGTCAGCTGAACATTGCCAGAAAAATACTCCACAAAATGACAAATATTGGTATAACCCTAAGTCACTATGACTGATCTCAAACTGTCTCTTAATTCTTCTTCTTAATTTTACTCAGCTATCTGGTTAACTCTGTCTTTCTCCACAAGATGATTGCGGAACATTTGCACTTTCCTCTATTTACATCTACATTTTCTCACTGGATTGAAACTTCCTACTTCCTTAAGGAGAGAAAAGCTATCAGACAGCAGCTGCTTCAATGTCTCTTGCCCAGTCCATCAATCTACCTGTGTCTGTCCTCATTCTTTCCTCCTTTTTTGTGGTACTAGAGAATAGGTCATTCTTTCTAAGGCTCAACTCTCCACCAGTGTTATTCAGCCCATTTTCTTCTACCTTTCTCCAAATCTCACACTACTCACTTTCTTTCCATTTTGTTTATCTTCAACCATTCTTTCTTTTTTTTTTTTTTTCCTTTTTGTCTTTTTTACTGACCGGTAACGGGATCTCAACCCTCGGTGTCGCGCCCGTACCGGGGACTGGCAACGGGATCGCAACCCTCGGTGTTGCGTCCGCACCGCGCTCAGCCAGTGAGCAGGAACTGGTCTCCACATGGGATCCAAACCCTCGGCGGGAGCGCCGCTGCATTCCCAAGCGGCGCACTCTCCAGTGCGCCACCGGGCCGGCACTTCAACCATTCTTTCTCCTTGGTCCTTCCCAATGGTATTTATTCATAATTATGCTGCCTGTATCTTAAAACTAACATACAAACACCTCTTTATTTACCTCATTTTCTTGTTATCCTATTGTTCTATATCTCTATTCACGTACCCTATCAAAATTCTTGAAAAGTTTGCTAATCCTGGCTGTTTACAACTGCCCATCCTCTAAGTAATATAGCTTTGCATTCCCCCTTCCCCCTTCCATTATTCTACTAAAACAGTCGTTCTGTATCAGAGGTGATTCCGCCCATGGTCCCTTTAAGCATTAGGCAATGTTTGGAGAAATTTTTGGTTGCCATTATGGAGGGAGAGTACTTGTGCCATTTTTTGGGTAGAGGTCAGAGATACTGCTGCTAAACTTCCTATAAAGACCACAGCAGCCCCCACAACACAGAATTATCCCATACAAAATATCAATAGCACTGAGGTTAAGAAACCTTATATTGGAACAACTCCTATTAAGATCACTGACAACTGAATTTGTATATCCAATATTGTTTTAATATATTATTCTACTTGGTGTACTGGCAGCTGATTCCTTTGACTAAGCTTTCAATGTAGAAATACTCTTTCTCTTGGTGTAAGAAACAACACAGTCTCTTCCTTTTTCTCTTACCTCTCAGACTTCTCCTTTATTACCTGGATGGACTGTGGCTATTGCTTGGCCTTCTACTGGCCTCCCAGAATTCACTAATGCATTATTAACTCTACATTCTCTCTTGCCCCCCTACCCATTCTTTTCCTAATTTGTTCTCCAGTCATCAACCAGAGTAAGAATTCCAAAACACAGACACAATGCAATCACTTTTCTGTTGAAAGTCTTCAACAGTTTACAATTCTTAGAAATATGAACTAAATCTTTAACAAGGTCTTTGAAGATCCAGCCTATTCCTCAGCCTCTATGATATGCTCCCCTACTTTTCTTTGCTTTGGTCACAATGCTTTTCTTTCATTTATCCCAGTGAGCCAGTTCCCATCCTGCTTTAGAATACTTGCCTATGCCTGTCCCTCTGTTAGTATACCCTTTCAGCTTGCAAGGCCAGCTGCTTCTTCAGATTTCAGGTACACCTTGTCCTCAGAGAAGCCTCTAATTATCTCAGCAAGATCAGGCCAGCCTGCTCCCTGATCACAACTCCTATACTTTTCCTTCAAAGGACTTTTTGTGTAACATCTACCAGATTCTCATGAAAAACTATATATTTCAATAGTAAAGCAACTTCTGATTGACAGTAGAGGAATAAAGTAAGATTCATGCCTAGTGGTCAGTCTATTTTCTTTCTACCTGGAGTCTAAAAAAAGAAAGCATAATTATTTTTGTTGGGCAAATTGGAATAACTTATTATTTACTTTAACTGAGATTCATGTTTAAAGTTTATATAGTAAATTTGTGTTTGGGCTTTATTTGTCTTACCTTCTTGTTTTAATTTAAAATTTTCAAGCCTTAATTTTATGAGCAAACTGTCGATAAAATTATATGCAAATGTTCCAGTAATCTCTGGTTATAGAACATATACATGTTGTTTTATCAATGCTCTCCACTCTTTTATATATATTTTCTGGGTTCTTGGTCAGTAAGTGGGTCAGGTTTTGGTTTCCTTAAATGGGAGAAGTTCTACCTATCTACACTATGCTCCAGGCTTTTAACTCATTATTTATATTATACTGATCCTTTTTTTTACATGGCAATTTGGGCCAGGCTCTCTCCCAGAACTTGGGCTAAGTGGCCTAGACAGCCTAGTACTAGATTTTGAAGGCAAATGTAGTTTTTGCACTGTTGGCCTTTCTTCCTTTCCTTTGAAATGGTAGCTATGCTTTTTCAGGTTGGCTTTTTCTTATTGCAAAGTAAAAATATCACCTTTCTGTATTGGGCGAGTGAAACAGGCAGAGAATCAGAGGGAAGGAAGGCAAAGTCTTCTTCATGACTGTACTTCCAGCTTACTAGCAGATTATTGGGTATTGGACAAGAGGTCCACCTGGTCTCTCTTTGGGGAAGAAGGTGGGTGATAGGATCCAAACACCTAACCACCACCCAATAGCCTATTGCAGGTGGATTTTTTTCTTTCATCAGTACAATTAAAAGCCTTCCATGGTTGACTTCTCATACCTGGCCTAAGAAAATATAAAAACCGCTCACTTTCTATACCAAAGCTATTGACATCAGCTCATCATAAAGGTATTTTTGATGTATTTAATATCATTGAGGTTATTTAAAGGTGAATATTAGTGGCTGATTATAAAATATTAGGGACCTACTCATTATACCACTGAGTGTTTTGTTTCCGTTTTGTGATTGTTGAAGTTCTTGTTTTAAATAAGTAGTGAGATTCAGGCCTCACATGTTGATTCCATTGCTAACAGCCCCTCACACTGTTTGTTGTTGGCATCTTTTCATTTTATATTTAATTTTATGTGTTAAATTCTCATTATAGTTACTAGTCATGTAGCTAAATTGGGATATTAATAAAATATTTACCTTGTCTGGGAATAAAAACAACAGTGTTTAATTTTATTTTGTTTTGTTTTTCCCATTTACTCATGGAAAATTCATAGATAGGTTAAAAAGAAGTAGTTCCTGCCCTACATTCTGAGGGTTTTTTCTTTCTTTCTTTTTTTTTTTTTTGGTGTTATCCAGAGAGACTATAATGAAATAAACATGGGGTCATAAAGCTAAACAGATTACGTATAGTTTCAGGCCCTACCACTTCCTAGTTACTTCACATTGGCCATATGACTTAATATCCTTATTCTTTGGTTCTCTCTTTCGTAATATGATGTTAAAAGAAGTACTCGCTTAATAGGGCTATTGTGAGAACCAGGTGAATAATGGGTCCAGCATCTTCACAAAAGTGACTTTAACATAGTAAGTTATGTGAAAGGGTTTAGCTCTTGCTATGGTCAAATGTGTCCCCCCAAAGTTCATGTATTGGAATCTTAATCCCCACTGTAACAGTGTTAAGAGGATGGAAAATCCAATTAAGGTATTTGAAAGACGGGACCTTAAGATTAGATTTTGAGAACTGTACCCTTATGAATGGATTAGTCCATTTATGGAGCAATGGGTGAGGTTCTGATGGCTTTTTAAGGAGAGTGAGTGAGCAGGTTAGCTTTCTTTCTCAGCCCATTCTTGCCATGTGACACCTTCATTGCCATGGGACCCTGTGGAAGAGCTCCTACTAAGAAGAATGTCTTCACCAGAAGTGCCTTCTGGACTGTGGACTTCCCAACCTCTGAAGTGTAAGAGATAGATTTTGTTTTCTTATAAATTACCCAGTTTCAGGCATTCTGTTGTAAGCAACAAAAATGGACTGATACAGCTCTTATCTCTGTCCAGAAAGTAATTACAAAACATATAATCCCCCATACTTTTCGGGCCAAAACAGGTCCGAAGCCAGCAGTAGCAGCAGCCAAAAACAAGAAGTACTTCATTGCCATCCCTGTAAAGAAAAGTTACACAATTTTAGATTGTTCTTAACTCATGGGATAAAGTTTTGTAACAAACTTATTTTGAAACACTTTTCAATGTATTTACATTTTCTACAAAAGAGACCTGTAGGGTAAGAGAAAAGATTAATATGTTAGTCATTGGGATTCAGAGAGGAATACAGAACTGTGAGTGGAAGAATAACAGACTCCGAAAGATGTAAATTATTAATCTCTGGAACCTTTGAATATGTTGTATTGTGTGGCAAAAGAGAATTAAGATAGCAGATGGAATTCAAATTGCTAATTAGCGGATGTTAAAGTAGGGAGGTTATCTTGGATTATCTGGGTGGGCCCAATATAATCACGAAGGGTACTTGTGGGATCACATACCCTCACCCCAAGATTTACAATAACGTGGTAACACAGATAATGAAATACGCATCCCATTCCTTCCTTAAAATAAAAAGAAGCTTCTGAAATACCTGTACAGTAGGTCTATATAGGCCCACACATTACTATTTATGCCTGGATGCATACTACATATATGCATGCATACATATGCATATGTATACTTTATATATCATCTATCTCTATTTACCATATACGTTTTGTATATATTTGTGTATATATGTTTATACACACACACATATATATCTATTCACTGAAGTGCTATTATTCAAGTGAATCCCCATTATGAGGTTGTCTATAACTTCTGTTATTGCATTTTCTGAGCAATACATTTCGGAAGTAATGTCTGCTCATTATCTATATTGTTATGATGGTTTCATGGGTGTTTACTGACATTAACCTCAATTATACCTCAAAAAAGCTGTTATAAAAGGCTTAAGGAATACAAAAAAAATTACCCGTTTCAAACCAGCCAAAACAACTCATATTGACAATTTAGGTTTTGTCTTTCAAGTCTTTATTTATTTTTTTCTTGCATACAGATTTAGTACTTAGTTTGATTCCATATGAAAAGTTAATTTGTATAACATGTTTTTTTCCCAGAATTTCTCATTATTACATATTTATTATGAATGTTATTTTGAAAATGTGAATAACTTATTAATTTACTTAAGATTTTGGCTAAAGTTTGATTTTTTTTTTCCTTTTTGTCTTTTTTCGTGACCAGCAACGGATCGCAACCCTCAGTGTCGCGCCCGTACTGGACCGGGACCGGCAACGGGATCGCAACCTTCGGTGTTGCGCCCGCACCTCGCTCAGCCAGTGAGCAGCCGGTCTGTATGTGGGATCCAAACCCTCGGCGGGAGCGCCGCCGCACACCCAAGCGGAGCACTGTAGCAGTACGCCGCCGGGCCGGCCCTGCTCCTAATATCTTAAATAGCTAATTATTTCAACAGTACAAAAATAAATTTATTTATTAAATATCTATCAAGCACTTATTATGTATCAAGTGCATTTAGAATTGAAGTTAGATTTATATCAAAAAACAGCTTTAGCTAAACTTTTTGATTTATATCAAAAAA